ATAAAACTTATATAAATAAATTTTTACTCATAAAAAATATTACTAGTACATAATAGCATTAATTATTATAATGCAATTAATGCACATATCTATTTTTCTTGCAATTTATTTAAAAACCTTCAAAGTTTAAACTCAATCCTGGCATACTTTTTTAACTTCAAATGTAATAAGATTGTGATTTGTTGGATAATATATATATGAGTAATGATTTCCGAGATGAAATTGGGAGGCGAAATGGGGGATGACAAGAGAAGCTAGTTAGGATACAAAATTATCAATTTAACCTGCCTCATTTGTTATTTTTCAATTTCGTCCCGTAAATCATTACTCATATATATATATATATAGTTATTTGTAATAGAATATTACATAAATTAAATGTATAATTAATATATTTTTTATAATTAATTTATATTAAAATAATAAAACATGATTTTAAATTTATTTTAATTAAATTCATTTAGGTAACATTAGTACTAAAATAAAAAATTTTGTATTTTTTTTTTGAACTTTTTGTCATGTGATAGGTTCGAAACCCGGTCAAGAGAGGAGGACATGCACTTTTTCAATGGCACTAACTATTGGACCACAAAGGGCAAGTGCAAAAAAAAAAATTTTTGTATTTTCTCGTAAATTGAATATTAAAATGTATATTCTCATAACCGGTGCCTAAACTTGTGAAAACTCAACTAATATAGCTTTAAACTTCTTGATTTACTCATCTTTCAAATAGATAAAAAGTAAACTAATGTTGTATTAGTGGAACTTTAATTTGGGCCTAGAATATAGATCTCTACCTTTGTTCTATTACATGTACTTTTTATTAACATGTATGGATTGGATTAAATTAGTACTACTAATTTACTAAACTAAGTTTGGATTATGTATAAAAAATCAAACAAGTTTGGATTAGTGAGACTTCAGGGTTTTGCTTTCACATTCAAACCCTTTACTTCGTGCCCTAGAGCTTTCCCAAATGAGGCTATTTATTCTCTGTCCAGGGAATTTTACTTTTGAAAATATCTGTTTTCCTCTTCTTCTTTTTTTTTTTATTTGATATGGATGATTAAAGTGTTTTTTGGTTAGTTTTTGTCCACTTTAAGATTAATCTTTTTTAAAGTGATTTTAAAAGTGCACTATTTATATTAAATTGATATATTAAAAGAAATTAATTTCTTTTTATGTTAACTTTAGATTTAAATCTTAAAATTGATTTATCAAACGACATTTATTTATGAATGATCTACGCTTAGGTTATTCTTGAAAATATCTACAGTTATAAGTTGAATTAATCAACTTGGATAGACACTTGCGTAGCATTCCATTTTTCACCACATCAACTACTCCTCAACTAGCAACATTTTGGTTAGATTTTAATGGTGAATTATTCTCAATGGGTAGAGTTCTTTGGTATTCCAGTTGTTCCCTTATTCCTAGTAAGACCACACATCACGTTAGCATACATTACCCCAAAAAAAAAAAAAAAAATGATGTCCATAAATGAATGGAAAACCCTCATTTTCCTTCAAATTGTTAGCAGTGCTATTCTGACATAATGGCTTTGATTCATTAACATTTTGCCTTCTATAATTTTCACAAACACAGAAAACAAACAAAAACCCAAAACTGATGCAAATATCAAGAAAAAAGAAGAAGAAGAAGAAGACAATTAGTGAATTAAGTATCTTGTGAACTATTCAATTCATAACTTCACCTGAAATCAAGCATAATATTATTCACCTGGACTCCACTTGTTCACAACAATAATTAAAAAAGAAAATTAAATGACTTAAAATCATATCCCTGAATGGGGATGAAGATCATGTTGTAAAGTGACTAAAAAATGAGAACGAATGTGACAAAAAGACCGCGTACAATATGGGGACCAAAATTGTTCCCCGAGTATTTCGGGCCAATAGCCTAACGGGTGAACTAACGGGTGAACTCCACCAAAGAGTTCGATGGTCGCGTACTTCATTATGGCAGGTGAGTTGTTCACTAAATTTTAAAATTGAATTTTCAGTTGCTAATATTTAACAATATTAATTTATTAATTATTGTTCTTATCAAAAATAAAAAATAAAAATAACCCTACAGGTTGCTTTACCGTAAGTGGGACCCACTCTTTCATTTTTTTTCCCTCTCTTCCTAAGAACGGTACGTACAATCTCAGTCTCCATTAATTCAAGTTTTTGTTTCCGGGTTCCGGCCCCTAGCTTTCGTAAACTTTCTCTTCTCTGCTTTCCTGCTTTTTGGGTTTTTGTCTTTTTTGTATATTTTTCTCCATTCTTGAGGCTGTTATGTTTTCTTGGCCGATCCCCAACTAAATCTCTAAATGCTCTGTTTTTTGCTGATGAAAGTTTGACGTATTGGTGATGTAAAGATTTTAAGATAGGAGTAAAAGAATGTTTACATCAGCTATTTATATATAATATATGTATGATAATTTATATTTAATAACTTATTATTGTTCATGAAAAATATTTTATAGTCTAAATTATTTTGGACACTAAAATATTAATTCTTAAATAAAAAAATATTTGAAGCTCTCTTTATCTAAACATTTCTATTTTATAATTAATTTAAATTATAAAATATCAAAATTTATTATTTACTCATGATTGGTATGAATTTTTTTTTGTAAAGATTTTGAGTTTTTAAAAAAAAAATTTAACTGTAATGTAGTAAGAATCTACTTTGATAAAAATAAGAAATTTTGAGTTTATATTATATGATATGCAAGTAAAATTGATTAAGAAAAAAGAAAAGTTACATTTTATTATGTAACACAAATTTTTTTTTTAATTAAAGCTTTGTTTTTTGGTTAATTTTTTTTAAAACTGATCTTGTTAAATGATAACTGACATTCCAAAGTTAATGCAAAATTTAATTGGATGAAAATGGGTAAATGTGGTTTCGAAATGGAAGGGGACGTTGAGGAGGCACGTGAATTGTTTCCTAGGGCAGTATTCAGTGTTGGGTGATGGATGAATGATTATTTCTTGGTGCTAAGGGGAAATGAGAACAGAGCCTTAAATGTTAGTAGAAGCCATTTTGATTGCAAATATTTATTTCTGAAAACGTTTGATGGAATCATTGTCTCACGTTTAAAATGGTTAATATCAAAATTTACTTTCAGCGTAAGGTAGGTTCACTGATTAAAGTACAGAACCAAACGTGTTGAACAATTCCTTAGTTTACCTAAATGATTTGAACATGTTAAATTGGGAAAATTCCTTTGATCACGTATGCCTCATTTTGTTTTGCTGAGTCTACACGTGAAGTGTATATCGTAACTAATTTTTTTCTCGAGTGATCCCCAGAGTATGGTGCACCCCTACATTTAAAAAAGAAAGAAAAAAAACATCAATTAATGGCCATAATCAAATTAAGCTTATATTGTATGTGCGAGTCATATTCAAATTTATAGGAAACAAGCCCACGTTACCCTCTTAAGAGTCCCAACAGCTGCGAAATCTCAAAGTCATTATAAAATCAAAGAAAGAGTCCCCAACCCTCCCACATGTGAACCAAATTATTATTATTATTTTTTTCTCTTTATCAACAAAATTATTGTTTTGGTTGCTTCTCTTCTCATCCAAAAACTCTCACTTCCTTACCTCCCAATCGATATCCTTAATTAACACTCCATGTGCAGATATGCTCTCACTTTATTTCCTCATTTTCCTTTTTTTTTATAGAAATTATCAATTTGCTTCTATATACTTCCTATCCTAAAATAGAAACATCACTCTCTTGTCTTGTTATCCATCACCTACATAAGCGTAGCTAGAACGTGGTCTCTCACTTTCACTTTTATTAAATGACATTTTGTGGACTCCATCCAAACTCATAAAAGACCATTTAACTCTCCTAATTAATAAGCATTTGAGTTTTTTTTTTT